ACGGTACATTTCACTGGACAGATACTAGACTTGATTTATAGGACAAGGTATATTTCACTGGACAGATACTAGACTTGATTTATAGGACAAGGTATATTTCACTGGACAGATACTAGACTTGATTTATAGGACAAGGTACATTTCACTGGACAGATACTAGACTTGATTTATAGGACAAGGCACATTTCACTGGACAGATACTAGACTTGATTTATAGGACAAGGTACATTACACTGGACAGATACTATACCTGATTTTAGGGACAAGGTACATTTCACTGGACAGATACTAGACTTGATTTATAGGACAAGGTACATTTCACTGGACAGATACTAGACTTGATTTATAGGACAAGGTACATTTCACTGGACAGATACTAGACTTGATTTATAGGACAAGGTACATTTCACTGGACAGATACTAGACTTGATTTATAGGACAAGGTACATTTCACTGGACAGATACTAGACTTGATTTATAGGACAAGGTACATTTCACTGGACAGATATTAGACTTGATTTATAGGACAAGGTATATTTCACTGGACAGATATTAGACTTGATTTATAGGACAAGGTACATTACACTGGACAGATACTAGACTTGATTTATAGGACAAGGTACATTTCACTGGACAGATACTAGACTTGATTTATAGGACAAGGTACATTACACTGGACAGATACTAGACCTGATTTATAGGACAAGGTACATTTCACTGGACAGATACTAGACCTGATTTATAGGACAAGGTATATTTCACTGGACAGATATTAGACTTGATTTATAGGACAAGGTACATTTCACTGAACAGATACTAGACTTGATTTATAGGACTAGGTACATTTCACTGGACAGATACTAGACTTGATTTATAGGACAAGGTACATTTCACTGGACAGATACTAGACTTGATTTATAGGACAAGGTACATTACACTGGACAGATACTAGACCTGATTTATAGGACAAGGTACATTTCACTGGACAGATACTAGACCTGATTTATAGGACAAGGTATATTTCACTGGACAGATACTAGACTTGATTTATAGGACACGGTACATTTCACTGGACAGATACTAGACTTGATTTATAGGACAAGGTATATTTCACTGGACAGATACTAGACTTGATTTATAGGACAAGGTATATTTCACTGGACAGATACTAGACTTGATTTATAGGACAAGGTACATTTCACTGGACAGATACTAGACTTGATTTATAGGACAAGGTACATTTCACTGGACAGATACTAGACTTGATTTATAGGACAAGGCACATTTCACTGGACAGATACTAAACTTGATTTATAGGACAAGGTATATTTCACTGGACAGATACTAGACTTGATTTATAGGACAAGGTACATTTCACTGGACAGATATTAGACTTGATTTATAGGACAAGGTATATTTCACTGGACAGATACTAGACTTGATTTATAGGACAAGGTATATTTCACTTGACAGATACTAGACTTGATTTATAGGACAAGGTACATTTCACTGGACAGATACTAGACTTGATTTATAGGACAAGGCACATTTCACTGGACAGATACTAGACTTGATTTATAGGACAAGGTACATTTCAATGGACAGATACTAGACTTGATTTATAAGACAAGGCACATTTCACTGGACAGATACTAGACTTGATTTATAGGACAAGGTACATTTCACTGGACAGATACTAGACTTGATTTATAGGACAAGGTACATTTCACTGGACAGATATTAGACTTGATTTATAGGACAAGGTACATTTCAATGGACAGATACTAGACGATTTATAGGACAAGGTACATTTCACTGGACAGATACTAGACTTGATTTATAAGACAAGGTACATTTCACTGGACAGATACTAGACTTGATTTATAGGACAAGGTACATTTCACTGGACAGATATTAGACTTGATTTATAGGACAAGGTACATTTCACTGGACAGATACTAGACTTGATTTATAGGACAAGGTACATTTCACTGGACAGATACTAGACTTGATTTATAGGACAAGGTACATTTCACTGGACAGATACTAGACTTGATTTATAAGACAAGGTACATTTCACTGGACAGATACTAGACTTGATTTATAGGACAAGGTACATTTCACTGGACAGATACTAGACTTGATTTATAGGACAAGGTACATTTCACTGGACAGATACTAGACTTGATTTATAGGACAAGGTACATTTCACTGGACAGATACTAGACTTGATTTATAGGACAAGGTACATTTCACTGGACAGATATTAGACTTGATTTATAGGACAAGGTATATTTCACTGGACAGATATTAGACTTGATTTATAGGACAAGGTACATTACACTGGACAGATACTAGACTTGATTTATAGGACAAGGTATATTTCACTGGACAGATATTAGACTTGATTTATAGGACAAGGTACATTTCACTGAACAGATACTAGACTTGATTTATAGGACTAGGTACATTTCACTGGACAGATACTAGACTTGATTTATAGGACAAGGTACATTTCACTGGACAGATACTAGACTTGATTTATAGGACAAGGTACATTACACTGGACAGATACTAGACCTGATTTATAGGACAAGGTACATTTCACTGGACAGATACTAGACCTGATTTATAGGACAAGGTATATTTCACTGGACAGATATTAGACTTGATTTATAGGACAAGGTACATTTCACTGAACAGATACTAGACTTGATTTATAGGACTAGGTACATTTCACTGGACAGATACTAGACTTGATTTATAGGACAAGGTACATTACACTGGACAGATACTAGACCTGATTTATAGGACAAGGTACATTTCACTGGACAGATACTAGACCTGATTTATAGGACAAGGTATATTTCACTGGACAGATACTAGACTTGATTTATAGGACACGGTACATTTCACTGGACAGATACTAGACTTGATTTATAGGACAAGGTATATTTCACTGGACAGATACTAGACTTGATTTATAGGACAAGGTATATTTCACTGGACAGATACTAGACTTGATTTATAGGACAAGGTACATTTCACTGGACAGATACTAGACTTGATTTATAGGACAAGGTACATTTCACTGGACAGATACTAGACTTGATTTATAGGACAAGGCACATTTCACTGGACAGATACTAGACTTGATTTATAGGACAAGGCACATTTCACTGGAGAGATACTAGACTTGATTTATAGGACAAGGCACATTTCACTGGACAGATACTAGGCTTGATTTATAGGACAAGGTACATTTCACTGGACAGATACTAGACTTGATTTATAGGACAAGGCACATTTCACTGGACAGATACTAAACTTGATTTATAGGACAAGGTATATTTCACTGGACAGATACTAGACTTGATTTATAGGACAAGGTACATTTCACTGGACAGATATTAGACTTGATTTATAGGACAAGGTATATTTCACTGGACAGATACTAGACTTGATTTATAGGACAAGGTATATTTCACTGGACAGATACTAGACTTGATTTATAGGACAAGGTACATTTCACTGGACAGATACTAGACTTGATTTATAGGACAAGGCACATTTCACTGGACAGATACTAGACTTGATTTATAGGACAAGGTACATTTCAATGGACAGATACTAGACTTGATTTATAAGACAAGGCACATTTCACTGGACAGATACTAGACTTGATTTATAGGACAAGGTACATTTCACTGGACAGATACTAGACTTGATTTATAGGACAAGGTACATTTCACTGGACAGATATTAGACTTGATTTATAGGACAAGGTACATTTCAATGGACAGATACTAGACTTGATTTATAGGACAAGGTACATTTCACTGGACAGATACTAGACTTGATTTATAAGACAAGGTACATTTCACTGGACAGATACTAGACTTGATTTATAGGACAAGGTACATTTCACTGGACAGATATTAGACTTGATTTATAGGACAAGGTACATTTCACTGGACAGATACTAGACTTGATTTATAGGACAAGGTACATTTCACTGGACAGATACTAGACTTGATTTATAGGACAAGGTACATTTCACTGGACAGATACTAGACTTGATTTATAAGACAAGGTACATTTCACTGGACAGATACTAGACTTGATTTATAGGACAAAGTACATTTCGCTGGACAGATACTAGACTTAAGTTATAGTAAACAACAAGCATTCAACGCAAAGTGGGTAGTAGGTGTATAGGGGTTGGGATAGGGTGTAACATGCGACCGGGGCAGTGTCACATTTTCATTGCATTGTGATGTTGCTATTTGTGGTGTATCTGTTTAAATGCTGTCGTTTTTTATTATTTTTTTTTTAGACAACTAAAAAACGACAGCATTTAAACAGATACACCACAAATAGCAACATCACAACGCAATGAAAATGTGACACTGCCCCGGTCGCATGTTACACCCTATCCCAACCCCTATACACCTACTACCCACTTTGCGTTGAATGCTTTTTTTTTAAAACTTTTAAATCAACTTATTTGTGAATATTAAGAAAAAATAATTTAGGTCTGTATCCCTCACATGTAAGACAAACTTGGAATATGACAAAATCAACCCAAAATAACTCAATATGACAGGTTTTAGACTTTTTTTTTACCCCCTCAGAATCACTTGACAGGCAGTTAGCTTGCTTCATGACTGCCCACCCCTACCCCACACTCAACAATCACACAACCTATAAACATTGTAAAGACACAAATCACTGAACCAGAACCCTCACATACCCCCCCCCCCCCCCCTCCCATCATTTCTATCTTTTTGCATCCATGACCCCAACTAAAAAAAAATTTTCACGAACACATACTCACTATATATTACCTCCCTGTATACACATTGCATACAAATGGTCTAAACAGCATATTTGTATTTCATTTAAATATGTATATATTTGTAAATCCACCTTCAATGTTTTTGCTGTTATACTTGTTTTATAATAAAAATATAAGTAAAAAAAAAAAAACCACCACTTACCTTCTGACTTGTGCAGCCTCTCTGAAAGATCAATATTAGCCCTGAAAGCAGAAGAAGGAATACTGTTTTGAACTAACACATTCAATAGCTCAGTTATCAAAACACTAACGCTTTGATGTATTGATCAATATTATTTGTCAGCAGGTATCAAGTAGGTATCAAGTTTATAAACATGATCTAACAAATAACAATTCTACAAGCTATTCCAAGAATAAAGGTTTCCTAAATTAAGCAAGGCCCAACTAAAAGAAAAAAAAGGAAAAGGTCCCTTAAAAAAAATGAGATCCATTAAGCAAACTAGGTCCAATCAAATAAATAAGGCCAAATCATGTAAATATGGTCCCATCAACAAAACAGGGCCCCATCAACAGAACAGTGTCATATCAACAAAACAGGGTCCCATCAACAGAACAGTGTCATATCAACAAAACAGGGTCCCATCAACAGAACAGTGTCATATCAACAAAACAGGGTCCCATAAAAAACAAGGTCCCATTTACTAAATAAGGTAAGCATGTAAGCAAATCATGTCACTTTATAAAAATTGCTATGAACACATAAGAAAACCATCTAATAATGTCAAATCCTATTCATTTAAAAAGTATATAAATTAAACATCCATTCCAAGTGCACTTTTTTCTTAGTCAAGATAAAAACAGCTCACAACTTAAATTTCCTGAAACAGTTATTTAAAAATCTATAGTTAATCACAAAGTAAACAGCTATAGACCATCCTGCCTTCTTCTAATAAAAAATGTATACACCATTAAATGGAACTTCTTTAAGCACAAGCACAGTAACAGTTCATATAAGGCTAGCAAGACACAAGGAACCTAACAAGGGCACAGAATCAGCAAGAAGTGCCAGGAATTATCCCCCCTGTGCTGGAGATTGTTTCTTCATCAAATCAATAGAAAGATGTCCAAAATAGCATGGGCTGACAGTTCCAATATGAGAAGGGAGGGAAGAGGGACTTTAACAGGTGAGGTGTGATGAACTTTCATACACTTTGCTGCACTTTCAGACAGATAAACAGCATTGGAAGACTATTTGTAAACCATAGATGCAATGTTGTATAAAGGAAAATATAGAATAGATTCAGGAGTGGTGACAAGTGTGGGGTAATGCAGTGTGTGGGGTGCAGTGTGTTTAGTACAGTATTGTGTGGGGTCCAAGCAGTGCATAGGGTATGTGGATTAAAAGCAGGGAGGTGGGGGGGGGGGGGGTCAGCAGTGTTTTGTAGACAGCAGTGTATGGGGTTAAGCAGTGAGCTGGGGACAGCAGTGTGTGAAGACAGAAATGTGCGGTAAACAATGTGTGGGGTACAGCAGTGTGTGGGTACATGCACATGGGGTACAGCTGTGTGTGAGGTACAGTTGGTTGTGGTACAGATGTGTGTGGTATAGTTGGTTGTGGTACAGTTGGTTGTGGTACAATTAGTTGTGGTACAGTTGGTTGTGGTACAGATGTGTGTGGTATAGTTGGTTGTGGTACAGTTGGTTGTGGTACAGTTGTGTGTGGTACAGTTGGTTGTGGTACAGATGTGTGTGGTACAGTTGGTTGTTGTTCAGATGTGTGTGGTATAGCAGTGTGTGAGGTACAGCAGTGTGTGGTACAGCCATGTGTGATATAGCTGTATGTGGTACATCATTGTGTGGTACAGCAGTGTGTGTGGTACAGCAGTGTGTGGTACAGTTGTGTGTGGTACAGTTGTGTGTGTTACAGCAGTGTGTGTGGTACAGCAGTGTGTGGTACTGCAGTGTGTGGTACAGTTATGTGTGGTACAGCAGTGTGTGGTACAGCCATGTGTAGTACAGCTGTGTGTGGTACAGCAATGTGTGGTACAGCTGTGTGTGTGGTACAGCAGTGTGTGGTACAGTAATGTGTGGTACAGAAATGTGTGGTACAGCTTTGTGTGTGGTACAAGAGTGTGTGGTACAGAAGTGTGTGTGGTACAACTGTGTGTGTGTGGTACAGCAATGTGTGGTACAGTTGTGTGTGTAGTACAGCTGTGTGTGTGGTTGGTACAGCTGTGTGGTACAACAGTATGTGTGTGGTTCAGCTGTATGTGGTACAGTTATGTGGTACAGTTGTGTGTGTGTGTGTGTGGTAGAGCAGTGTGTGGTACAGCAATGTGGTAGAGCTGTATGTGGTACAGAAGTGTGTGGTACAGTAATGTGTGGTACAGCTGTGTGTGTGGTACAGAAGTGTGTGGTACTGAAGTGTGTGTGGTACAACTGTGTGTGTGGTACAGCAGTGTATGTGTGGCAATGTGTGGTACAGCTGTGTGTAGTACAACTGTGTGTGGTACAGCAGTATGTGTGTGGCAATGTGTGGTACAGTTGTGTGTGTGGTACAGTTGTGTGTGTGGTTGGTACAGCTGTGTGGTACAACAGTATGTGTGTGGTTCAGCTGTATGTGGTACAGTTGTGTGGTACAGTTGTGTGTGTGTGTGTGGTAGAGCAGTGTGTGGAGTTATAACAATTGTACAGGTTCCACAGTGTTTTGGTTACAAAGAGCATGTTGGGGTGAGCTAATAAATCATGCAACGATTGGCCTGGGAATGAATAGACGGTGATTAATTAATTATCTGTTGTGACAGCATGCCATTATTGTTCAGTTCAATTTGGGTGTGGGTTCATTCTCTCTACGTGGTGCTAATTAAGTGGGGTACAAAAGTGTGTGGGGTGTGTCCACTCTCTCTATGTGGTGCTAATTATGTTGGGTACAGCAGTGTGTGGGGCACAGCAGTGTGTGGGGCACAGCAGTGTGTGGGGCACAGCAGTGTGTGGGAAAAGCAGTGTGTGTGGCACAGCAGTGTGTGGGGCACAGCAGTGTGTGGGGCACAGCAGTGTGCGGGGCACAGCAGTGTGTGGGAAAAGCAGTGTGTGTGGCACAGCAGTGTGTGGGGCACAGCAGTGTGTGGGGCACAGCAGTGTGTGGGGTACAGCAGTGTGGGGGGGTACAGCAGTGTGGGGGGTACAGCAGTGTGGGGGGTACAGCAGTGTGTATGGTACAGCAGTGTGTGGTACATCAATGTGGGGTACAGCAGTGTGTGGGGTACAGCAGTGTGTGGGGTACAGCAGTGTGTGGGGTACAGCAGTGTGTGGGGTACAGCAGTGTGTGGGGTACAGCAGTGTGTGGGGTGTGTATGTGGTGCTAATTATATCCCGACCATAGAGACAGGCATTCGTGGAGTGAGATAAATCTACAAATAGTCTCTACCCACAGTAATAATAATAGTAGCGAATAGAATAAAACAATTAGAGATCGTCCATTAATTATTACGTTAATTTATCGACATCCAAGTTTGCCACCACTAACCCACCAACGTCCGCTACCGTGACCATTTAAAAAACCACTCAATCAACCCCCCCCCCCCCCCCCCAAAAAAAAATCACACAAAATAAGAAAACCACTCCCTCCTGGTTACACTTTAAAAAATAAATATCTATCTTCAAATTCAACCTGCTTTCCTTGTTGTACACACCAAATAAAAATGAAAATCTCTTAGTCTTCCCATTAGTGGGCAAAATCCGTACAATGTATTATTATGCAGACGTTCGCGACTGAACTTTCCATTGAGGATTTTTTTTAAAATACATTGGCCAAGTGAAAATGTCAGGGTGTTATCGGTAGTCCGCTTAATATGGAAATAAGGCAGAGAGCGTGTTGGATATAGACCGCAGTTTGTCGGTCGGCTTTGGTGTAACCGGTGTGATATCCGACCAAACTTATGTACATAATAAAGTAACTGTTTAACATATGATAATTCAGCGATACTTGCAATAGACTTGAAAAGCTGGTTCTAAATTATTCCAAATTTGTGTTGCCAGAAAGCATATTTTTTCAACCAAATTTGAATCTTATCTATCTATCTATCTCTCTCTCTCTCTCTCTCTCTCTCTCTCTATATATATATATATATATATATATATATATATATCTTCTATATATATAATTCTCCTCTTCGAGCCGTTAGAAAACAAGCTGCAAACGCTCTCCCTACCTCCCCACCCCTACATGGTTTTAGTGAGCTGTGTTCACTCTAAATGTTTACAAGCAGAGCCAACGATTTTAAACGTAGGGGGGGGGGGGGAGGGGGGGGGAAGGAAGGGGGAGGGGTTATGGTCCTTAACGAGCTACTTCTAGTGTTTTAAAGAAATATTTTCAGTGTCAGCGTTGGTACTGTCGAATTCACAAATTATGAATTATTGAAAATTAGAAACAACTAAATAGCGGCGTATGTTATGCCGCGGGCCGGCTCGTATATATATAATTCTCTTCTGGGAGCCGTTAGAAAGCAAGCTGCAAGCGCCTCCTTGCAGTCCCCTCTCTTTCTCTCTATCACTATCACTACCACCCCCACCCCACCCTCACATTGTCTGGTGAGCTGTGGTCACGCTGTTTACATTTTACAATCATAGAGGACGGGTTTGGTGACGGCTATAGGGGCAGATAATTTAGTTTGAAAAGATTTTAAACGTAGAGGGGGTAACTAAGAGGAGGCTGCTTTCACGTGGGGGGGGGGAGGGGGGGGTAGTGTTTTTAAGCAAAAAGCAAATATTTTTCAGTGGCCAGCATTGGTTACTGTCGATTCACAAATTATAAATTACTGAAAAGTAAAAAAAAAAAAACAACTAAATAGCGGCGTATGATACGCAGCGGGTCGGCTCGTATATATATAATTCTCTTCTGGGAGACGTTAGAAAACAAGCTGCAAGCGTGCCTTGCAGTCCCCCTCTCTTCCTCTCTATCGCTACCACCCCACCCCACCCCCCACCCCCCACCTCACATGGTCTGGTGAGCTGTGGTTCACGCTAAATGTTTACATAATACAATCGTAGAGCCGGGTTGGTGACCTATTAGGGGCAGATAATTTAGTTTGAAACGATTTTTAAACTTAGAGGAGGTAACTAAGAGGAGGCTGCTTTCACGGGGGGGGGGGGGGGGGGGAGAAGGGGGAAGGGGGGGGAGAAAGGGGAATGGGGGAGAAAGGGGAAGGGGTAGTGTTTTAAAGCAAATATTTTCAGTGGGCAGG